CTTAATATAAAAATCTTTTCCTTTCGTATCTCAATTCACCTCGCCAGAAGGAATTATTTGTAAGCTTTTTTTTTTTCCTGAAACTTATTTGCCGCTTATGGAAAGTGCAGGTCCTTTGCATGCTTTGTACAGCCGGCTAATCCAAGGGCAGTTAGCACAGTAATTCAACAGACACTTGTCACAGTCACAGAGCTGCTTTTCAGACTAGACCTCAACACTGGTTAAGGTCTTTCTCTACTTGTATGTAGGAATAAAATGAAAAAGATTAGTTCAAGTTTGATTAGAATGACGTATAAGAACTTCAAATGTCAATAACGAACTGGTTCAAATATCCGTGACAACTATTTTTGCATGTCTGTGACAGCAAAAGTTACAATTCCCGTGGTCATTGCAGACACCTGATACTCTAGTGCTTCCATTAGTTGCTGAGGGATTTCCTGAATCGTGCCTATGGTGTCCTAATCATCCTGGCCTTCTCAAATTCAGCCAATCTCTTTTTGTCACAATTTATATTTTTGAATCCTAGAAAAGATTTGGCAACATTATAAAATAAGTTGAAACATCTGTTGTCTTGTTTCTCACTTTTATTCTCTTTTAGAAAGCAGTGAGAATGTGTCAGCCTGCAGGGATCTGCTCAGAGCAGACTCCGAAGCAGAGGTCGTGTTTAGGCGTAGGCGTTATTCGGTGCTGGATCCAACCTTTTGCCATCTCAGCAGACCTCACGTGGCTGTGCTACCAGGTGCTGCCAGCTGTTCTAGATAACAAGGCTCTCTTCCAAATACATGTTCATATATTCTCTTTCCTCCTCATGGAACTTTACACTGAGTTCTTTCAGGCTGAATTCATTTGGTCTTGGGAAAAATTTCAGGCATGAAAATACTGGAGGACAGGGCAGTGTTTCCAGCTTCCCAATCTAGCAAACCTTCCTATTGTTTATCAGGTAAAATCTGCTAATGGGTGACAGAGAAAGGCTTCATCTCTGCGTGTCAGGAAGCAGGAATAAAATTTGCATGGAATTATTCTCCAGAATATATTGTCAGATCCCTTGGCAGATTGTAGATTATACAAATTTCCAGTCTAGGTTCTAAAATCTACTGCAGTTTGTAAGACCAGCACCAAGACGTTCTAAAGGAGGTCTACAGGCAGTATATATTTCATGTGAAGTATTTTTTACCCACTGATTCAGGTTTCCTTCAGGTCTTCTCTAACTTACTGCTGTTGTCAATTCACAAGCACTCTTAAATAAGTAAGTTTTACAACCTCACTGCAACTTACTCTTACATTGTAAGTTGCCACATGAGCCCTCTAACATCAGAACCTTATAAACTCTGAATATTTTCAAGCTATTTATTATTAATTTTCAATTTCCTCATAAGCATAATTACACAAAAAGGGTGGATTAATATTTTTTTTTCCAAATTACTCCAAAGTGTTATGATCTCACTACCTGTTTGCAGTCGCCTAGCATCCCAATGGTGTGAGCTCTTTAGGTGCGTTAGTATGTGAGATAATGTTAAAAACTACTTAATGAATTTACATTCTTGTCAAACTATTATATTTTAATTAACTTCTAATTAATATAAATGAGCCAATATGAAATGCATAAAACTGATAAAGAAGGCTGCAAAGTCTAAATTGTTCAGGGAAATATGTGGCCAGCATAAATTAAAATAATAAAGGATTCTTTTTTGAATTGGAAAATTTCTCATGAAGAAGGAAACCAGCGAAGTCTTGAGAGCTACAGGCTGCAAGGAAAAGATAGCACAAATGACACGTGAAACCGAAGGGCAGTTGAGCTGCCATCGAGTCAACCACATGGCACTGGTCTGGGCAACCAACAGGGCTAGCGCGGCTTGCTGCGGGCCACCTGGAACGCCTGGACCCCACTGCAGGTGGAGTGTCTGTCTTGAGGGTCTCCTTGGAACTGTGAGCCTCGAGTTTAGAACATGGTTCTTCAGAAAGCAGAGGTGTTTCCAAATATATGACTACTACTACTTATTTATTTATTTTTAATTAGGAAAAATTGAAAGCAGTGTCCTTATCTCTAGGTCCTACTTCCCTTAAGATTTCTTGGGGCTCTGTGTACTCACTGAAAGACACATTTCCTAATCTTCTCTTGGGGATCCTGTGATTACATTGGAATAGCAAATTTCATTAAAATAAATATGTAGAAAAGGTCAGACAAACCCATAATAAATAGCAGTTTTGAGATAATGCTTTAAAATCCTCTTATGAGAACTTGTAATGATATTTACTTAAAGAAAGTCTGAAATAGCAGCTCTCAGAAGAGTGAACAATTCCATTCATTTTCAGCTGAATGCAGAAGTTTAAAATGTTTTTTTGCTGGGCTTAGATGCATTCCAGCAGAGGACAACAGAGACTGGGAGGTTTAAAATGTTTTTTTGCTGGGCTTAGTCAGATGCATTCCAGCAGAGGACAGCAAAGACTGGGAACAGTTCCCATGAACACATATGGAGGGTGGTTCCACCGGCCTCGTCATTCTGCGGGATCAAGGCAATAAAAGACAAAAGTTGTGACTGTTGTGTAAGCATGAAACTGGCCCCTGAGCTGGTCCTGCTGAGGAGGGACCTACCCCGTGCTGCCATTGCCTTGTTTCTTCTGCAGATCAATGAGCTTTCCTAATGTTCACCACTGTGGAAACTGTCCATATATGTGAACATCGGGTGCACAAAATTAACTGAATTGTGGCCATGGTTCGTTCTTTTCCTAGCGTCACTTTATGTCATCTCCCTTGGTAGTGCTATTTATGGCCATGATGTCCTAGTGTGTTTGCCCAGGTGGGCAAATTTTTGCAATACAGCTAGCCACATAGTTTCATACCCCCATCACAAATTAATTGTGCTTCAAACCAGTCTTCTAAGAGCTCCCGCTAACCCCCTCGCATGCCTCATCTCCTGTCAACATCACCTGCCTGTTTGCTGGTCAGATGCAACGTGCTGCAGTCACCTCATTCTTGACCCTTTCTGCTTGCTCCCATGTTTACACGATCACAAAATCCCACAGCTACGTTCGCTACAGAATTCTTAGATATTTTGTCTTAAAATATGTTCTTGGGAGCTGTATCAGAGTAAAGTTTAACCCCTCAGCTCCTGCTCTTCTAAAGCTAAAACAGAAGCAGTTAGTTCTTGTCAGCATCAGATGAGCTTTCCTGATGTTTCCTGTATCTTCCTGGCAGAATTTGTTTTCTGTCTTCTCCTTTTGACCTCTCTTGTGACTCTCCTGATTCTTTACTACTTTTATGGTAGGAACCTCCCTCTAATGAGTTTCGTAAGAATTAACTTTCTTTCTCAGTGCAATATCTGTCAAGGTGTTTAATTTAAAAATATTACGTGCCTACGTGTTTGTTGGTTTATATTTCAGTGTATCATACATCTGTCTTCTGTTTGTTAATCACCTGGAAACCAAGAATTTTACTCATTTGGCATCTGTTACCCAGTGCTGTGTGCTATTATTGTGCTTAATAAATAATAACACTAGCATGAATGGAGTGGGAATGGATTACCAAAGGAGGATTTCTCTTTTAGAAAATGTTCTGTCTCAAGTAGTAGAAGATATTCTTTGCTGTTTTATTTTATTTTTTTTAAAGTTTGCCTTTATATTTTCATTCCTTTGTGTCTGCATCTTCTGTGGATTAAATTTTACTTAGTCTGTTTTGCAACATGTCAGGAAGAACAATTTTTGCTAATGCTTTCCTGTCAATATTCACAGGACAATGAATCGTTTAATTTTAAATGTTTGTGAGGTTTGCTCCATAACTGTAGGTTTTTTTTTGGTTTTTTGTTGGTTTGTTTGTTTGTAAGTATAATACCCAATATCAATATAAGTAAATCAACACCTGGTCAACGTTTAGTGGTTCTTGAATGAATCATGTTTTATAAATATTAGTTCCAGATAGGACAAAACCTTTGTTATGTCACTTGCAAATTTATACCGTAATCAAAAATATTGTACGTTAAGCCAGACCTTAGAAATCATCCTCATATTACCTGAAATATAACAATGGCTGTTCTAATTCTGCAGAGTTGCAACAGCTAAAACAGACAGGAAACATAGGTGCTTAAATCTTACTCTCAAAAATGAACTGGGAATTTGTGAATGAAAAAATGAGAATTATATGGTGCATTTACATTTCCCAGGCATGTCTGAAACTATACAAGGTTCCTAATGTACTTCAGGACTGTAAAAATTTTCAATCTCTCTAAGTGGAGTAAACAGAAATGCATTCTTTGAAATATCATAGTATTTCATATGTGACTCCATCTTGCCTTTCAGTATTTCAGTATTTTTTTTGAAAAATAAAATCTCTTTTCCTTGACAATGTTATTTTGTAAGTTAAATTTTTCACATACTGGCTGTAGTCTTTATTGGGTATAAGAGAATATGCAATTGTGACAAGGATTTTAAAAGTATGTACTAGTACTGACTGGATTTTATCATGCTAGAGTATTTCATGCATTTCATTTCATTTTAGGAACAAATCTCCAAAGCCCTGAAATCTTCACATACAAAATCTTTACATCACACAAACTATGTTTTTTACCCATCTTCTGAGAAATTGCATAAGATAGTTGGTGTCTGCTGAAATGTGGATTTATTGTAGTTTACAAATTTGTCCACAGAGCATCCTGGCTCTGCCAATGCTTCCTCTTAATTTACACCATGAGGGAAGGATGAAACCGAAGCTGATTGATAACACGTGTGTGAAAGGGAGCTGGAAGTGTTCTTATGGATTATGGAATCGGGATGTGTGTGAAAGCCAACCTGAACCCCGAGAACAGGGAGAACTGTCCTTTGGTAGCGGAGCTGTGGGATGTCTGTGGAAACCCACGGACGGGTCCGTGTCCGTGTCCGTGTGAGGAGGGGACAAGGGCTTGTCGTTGCTGTACAGGCTGGCAATCACCGGGTCTCTAACATTTAATGCTTGTTATTCTAGTAACTAAGCATATTTATTAATCTTTCCTTTTTATTCATTTTCATAGATAAAAAAAATCAACAGGAATTTTCCCGTAAACCAGCAGGTAAGAAAAATAAACTTTTGAGAGGTTTAATTTATGATTCTCATTTAATCTGTATTGGAACTGCCAGTGTGTTTTTCTAGCTGAGGACTTCTGTGTAGGTTTTCTTCACGGAGCTACGCTACCTCCAAAGCAGCAATTGCTTTTCCACATGCAAATGGGAACAGGGTTTTCCATTACAATAAGCTCATGTCTAATTATTTTCAAGTTAAACTAAGTTATTTACTGGCACTAACTTATGTTTGCGCTCATCTACTTTAATATAAAAGGGAGAATGAGACTTATGCTTTAAAGATGTAACCACTATTCATGCTTGTTTTAGGGTTTTCATTTTTAGAGGAAGCTATGAAATGTCATTACATTGAAATTGAACAAAGTAGACAATTAATTTTGTCTATGATGATTATTCCAAACTTTAAACATATTATCTGTTTATGATGAAGAGGTTTCAGTGTCTTATTGTATGTCATATGGAAAAAACTTAGTCATCTTGTTCAATATAAAAGCAGAAATACAACAAATTCTGACAGAGCTCTTACATGCAAACATAGACTCATAAACAACTATATTGCACAAGAACATAGTAGGTGTATAAAAGTATATAATAGGAGCTTTTATATGTGATACATATGCACTGATATATACATATATATGTTTATGTATACATGTTTATGTACATATATTTTTGTTTTTTAATTGGCAGTTAAAGGTAAAAGGAGGAGGGTATTGTCAAATTAGAGTACAGAATCCAATCCTATTGGAATTCCTATGGAAGTGTATTCTTGATTAGAGCAGAAATTATTGTGAAATGATGGGTAGACCAATAGCGAGGGAACAAATGAACCTCCATAGATGTGGGAGCATCTACAGCTGTCACGTTGTTAGCTAAACATCTCAAGGGTGGTAGTAAAATAGAAAGAGAAGAAGCGATTAGAAGAGTTTCTTGTTACACGTAGCATAGCAGCGTTGGTTAAAGGCAATAGTGTAAAATTACTTTTGTCTGAGATTTTATTGGAACATGCTGGGAATTGACAGTTCAAATGTGAGAGCAGTGATAAAAAAGTGATAATTATATAGAAACCATGGCAGTTTCTAGCTGTTTTGAGAATGGTGTTAATATGTCTAATAATGGTTAAGAAAGCGGTGCAAAAAATGGTGTAAAAAGAGCATACAGACATGGTGTTTTTAGGGAAGGCTGTGGGAGGAGAGGAGAATAAAACTTGTATGAGCTGACGAGGGCGAAAGGAACACTTAGCGATTAAGATGTGAAATTAAATATTGGCAACATTTTGAATTAAACTGTGTTTTCTCTGTGTGTGGGCTACCTGTAGTACCATCTAATAGAATAACAGAAAATAGCTGAAAAACATAATAATTCAGTACTAGAAACAAAATGCACAATCAATAACAAACATAGGGCTTGCTTTATCGTAGACAGAATGTCATAATCCCGGAGGAAAAAGGCTGGGAGCTCTTGGCAATGAGGCTGGAACGGAGGATCCCGGGGCTGCAGCTGCGGTG